CTCCTTCAATCAGAAATAGATCTACTGTACTTCTATCCAAAATAGATGTGATTTTCCCTTTTCATTCAAAGCAAAACAAACGAACAAACTTTAAGATGATATTATCAATAACTTCCTGTGCCCGAAATCTGACGAGCGGTTCATTACAGCTAGCCGCAACACATAATAGTAATGTGTCTGCTATGTCCCCTAAGAGTTTAGGCCACCAATCATCGTCCTTTTATTTATTTCTGTTCTAAAAATACACAACAACTTTCCTAAATTGGGGCACATTCCACGCATTATTGCAACGTTCGCTTTGTTCGGCTAGGTTTCCACAATTCCATTTTAAACGCAGCTAGGACTTTGGGCAAAACAGTTTAATGGACATTGCTAATTCATCAAGGTGAGGCTTTCTTAACTTGTGAGCTGTGTCATGTCGTCATGTCGTCTACGGGAATGTGAAGAGAAGGAGGTGCAGGGGAAACAAGGGAGGGGGAGGGATGGGGGACATAGATTGTGTGTGTGTGTGTGTGTGTGTGTGTGTGTGTGTGTGTGTGTGTGTGTGTGTTTGTTGTGGTTGTTGTGGCTGGTGTTGCTGTTGTTGTTGTTGTTGCTGTTGTTGATGGTGGTATTGTTCGGCGCCACATTGGTCAACAGAAGGCGACGAACAGTGTTTCTGGTGCTGCTGCTGCTGCTGTTGTGACTGGTCCGCCTGTTCAGTAGGTTGTGTAGTATGATAACCCTGAGAATGTTTGGCACATTGTTGAGACTGCTGTGGGGAATGTCTATGGTGATGGTGGAGAAGATGTGGAGGTGGTTGCTGCAAATGAAGCTGGTCGTGGGTATGACAGTGATGCTGCTGTTGATGGTACAGGTGATGATTGGGGTCATGTATCCACACGTCGTCTTCTAACGGTTTGTTCTCTGTCTTCAGGCCACACGAGTGCTCGATACTCTGCTCCGCGATACACCCCTGGGAATATACCACAAATATTGTTAGTCCAAGAACATGGCTTTGATTGGCTAAGGACAATCACATTGATTCAATACTGTCAGCTGGAGATAAGGGGAAAAGCAAGAAAGATTGTCAGATCTAATCCGAGTTTCACCACACTTGCAATACAACAAAACATTCAAAATGTTAAAAATGGAGAAATAATGATGACAGAAGTAGTTTGAAAGGGGGAAAAGGGAGCAAACCAAACCAGAGCACCCATCTATCACCCACTAACAGCCAGAAAGACACATAGAAACCGAAGACTGAAAGAAAAAAAGTAGGATCTACCACTGACAGTCTGTGACACGAACATACTTACACATTATACTAAGTAGCTTATAATTCATGAAAATTTGAGTGGGTCATCGTCTTGAGAAATATTTTTTTAAACCCAACTTTTCAGAAGGAAAACAACAGAGAATGGCATCACCAGCTAATCAGATAATAACAAGAGACAAATCCTTTAGAGAAAAAGCAAGCGATCAACATTTCCCTCATCTATCAAATGAAATGCAATGTCCCCATAACACAGTAACAGACTATAATGCTGCCGACAATTATAAGGGCCACCATCCCACAGCGCCCACTATCTACATAATATAGATAAAGTTGATACTTGATTGAGGGTTGATGGCCACTGGTCCATGTCACATAAAGTATACAAATGAAACAGAAGAAACGTCCGACATATAGATAAGATCACCAACAACGACGTTGGCTTTTTAAAGTTCCAACTATTATTCCAAGAGTCTTGAACACGCTTACCGCCATGATCAGTATTCTCTCCAGGTTGTAAGCACACAGGTGTACACACTATGTACATAAATACAAAGTCTTCAATGCACTACAGGTGCACAGTTGCATGCCACACGACAGTTAAATACCCCCACACGCCCCTTTTTTTTCCCTTTTCCTCCTTTTTTCTGAAAGGGGGGGGGGGGGGCTGTCAATGTGTCTATCACAACGAAAGAAAAAAAAACAAGAACATTAAAAGCAAGAAAGGGTAACAAGAGCATGCCATATGAAAGAAAACATTAAACAATAACAACACAAAAGAATACAATGAACGCAGAATGTGATTCTTTAGACGGATGAGTGACTGGGTAAAGGCATGGACAGGTGGATGGTAAGGCCGCAGGTGGACAGGAGGATGGACAAAGAGAAAGATGGATTATGTTTTTCTTTGTTGTAGTTTAAGGAAAAGTTTTACGGCGTTTGCAATACAAATAGATCATAATAAGATATGTGCCGAAGATGAGAGATGTCACTACAGAGTACGTTGCAAAGAAAAGAAGTGCGACATGTTTTATAGGGAAGAAAGAGATTAGACAGGAAAAAGATGGATAGAAAAATGGGAGGGTGGACGGACGGATGGATGGATGGATGGATGGATGGATGGATGGATGGATGGATGGATGGATGGA